GGTCGGAGCTGGAACCAAGGCCACGGTGAGGCTGCCCCAGTAGGGCCGTGGCCCCGGCTCCAGCCCTAGCCCTGCCTGCCGCCCCACTCTCCCTGCTGCTGCCCGGTGAAGTGGGCGAAGGGAATTCCCTCCTAGGGAACCCAGCCGGCGGGGCTAATCAAAAGCGGGGGTGTGGCCGGGCAATGTGCCACGGCCCAGCAGGCAGGGGTTCGTAGGCCGGTGGTTGGGAATTGCTGTTCACCTGCACGGGTTGGTCCAAGGAAGTGCCGGGTTGTGAGCCGCCTGCTCAGGTCCCAAATAGCCCAGGGAGTGAACCTGTTTGCTTGGGGCTGCCTCCAGCAGCAAGATGCATTAACCCCCGGCAGCCTGCCAGCAGGACCCACCTCGCACCGATAGCAGGTCTCGTGGAAGTGTCGCCCCAGACATTCGATCCTGTAGGCGTCTTGCCCGCCCTGTGGGACGATGGGGGTCTCGCAGGCACCGCAGACAGAGGCGTACTTCCTGGGGCCTCAGCACTTGCAGACCGATTACGAGCAATTCCCACCACGATTCGCAGCTAGCTCCATGTCGCTTCATGCTGCTGCCACTGCAGGAATCGGGAGCAGCAGCCTTTTCAGTCTCGGCTCAGGCTGAGATGGACTGCACTGAGCTGGGTGCCAGGCCAAGCTACCCCGGGAATCAGCTGTGGCCCTGTCTCTGCTCCCCTTTATGCTGACTTTCCAGGGGTGTTGCTCCATTCATGACAATGGCTTCGCTCCTAATTTATAGCAGCACGAAGGAGAGAAGAATCAGACCATGTCTGCTTAGGAATCCCGCCCGATGGGACAGACAAGGTGACTAGCGGGGCCACTGAACTAAAGGGGAAACTGAGAAAAAATATCAAGTCCTGCCCCCAGGAAACAAAGCGGAGGGCACGCTGCAAACCTTCCCTCCAGTAGGGGGCCGGTACCCATCCTGGTGGCATCTCTGCTCCCTTTGTAAGTGGCGTGTAAAATTCTACCCCTTTGGCCAGGGGAAACACGACTCCCTGAGATACACACCGGGGGGACGGAATTGAGATACAAAGTTGGGGG